TTTTTTGTGAAACTTATATATTGAATCATCAACGTATTTTGGTAAAATTAATATACACTATATGTGAATAACATATGAATAGTGTATGAATAACGTTAAGCTATTTTTCATAAGAGGAGCTTTAAGAGGAGCCCATGGCATTTGATGGTTTACACTGTTTTATTCACAGTTTTATACAGTGACCAACATTAAGAAAGAAAGTATTTTTTGAGACATTGAGGATGAGTAATCATTAACATAATCTTTGTAATGCTATCAATATAATAAAAATATTACAAATTTATTTGCAAATAAATTTTTGCAGTAATTGTCCAATAATTAAAAAATTAATAAAATGTTACGAATATTGAGTGTACATAATTATTTTAACAAAATATTTTATTTAGAAAATAATGCTTATCATTATGGTGACCATGAAATAATTTTTGCTTTCTTATTAATTAACTTATTATATAAACATATAATTTAATTATTATATTTTATATGAGTTTATTAAAAATATCAACTTTATTATAAGAAATTATAATTAACATAATGTAATATAAAGTAAATGTAAATATGTAAATTTTATTAATAAATATATAAATAAAAAATATTATTTATATAAATATTATTTTATTATAACACTATTAAATCGGATAACTTATAGCCGAAGACCAGGGATACTATAAGTAGCAAAAGTCGTATCAAATTCATACTCGAAGTCGGGTTAAGAAGTGTGGATACCGTCGGCAAAAAGAAGTCCAAACCAATTAAATCGCAAATTACATAGAAAAACATGTATAACATTAGGGATGAGAACGTCAGCCAAAGAGTGTTCATTATATGATATCTAATGTAAACCCTATGGAAAATAATATTATTAATATTAAATACAATATAAAAACATCAGATACATGCTGTAAACCTTTTATATATCTTTTTTGCTTTTTGCATGTCTTCGTCGGTTTCCTTTAATATAAACCGTCGGCAACCGAACCAATAGTTATCAAGGTATTTTTTCCACTCAATCTCTCGGATATCAAAACCAAAGACCCGACGATCCGTTTCGGACATCTCATCCAAGAGAGCGAACGTATTTGTGATCTCATATTCTGGTGATGTCTTCATAAATAGTCGGATGTCTTTCATATTGGTATTCATTTTTTCAGTAATCTTCATGATTCCCGTCTTAATGCCCGACAATTTGGCCAAAAAATGCATTATAAATGCAAACATCCAGTGTTTAACGTACACTTCTAGCCGTAGTTTTAGTTTGTGTTGCAAAAACATCAACCTAGGTGGTCGTACCACTCGCTTGGATGGAAACCGTTGAGCGATCTTTTTAATCGATGTCATAAGATGTCTCATCGGCGGTGAAATGTTTCTCTTAGTGGTCAAGTGGTATACTTTAAGTTTTGGTTCACTATATATACGTATAATTATATTATTTAACTTATAAGATAACATGATAAAATTATAATTGTACGAACCATTTCTTACAATTAGACCAAATGCTAGTAATCAAAGCGTTGGCCACAAAATCAACGGGTATTACACAATGAGCGCCAAACTTTCGGGACGGAAATACATTCATAAGACCCAAACCAATTGCAACGGCTGCAGAAGTGGTGCCCTGAAGTCCTTGCAGCCAACCCGGGGTCGGCTCCACACAAGCACCCAATACAGCGGATGGTCTGATGATAACAATGTTAAGTCGATTGGACTCCTGTTGCAGAAGCTGTTCGGCCAATGCTTTTGATATGCAATAAGTGTTATTAAAATCTCGAAAGAAAAACTCTTGGAGTTTTTCCAACACATCGTCGGACACAGAATCGCAAACTTTTAGTACATATTCGGGCGAAACGACTATATTCTTCGGGACCGTCTCAACAGCAAAGTCTGAGCCGTTAAGTATGGCTGTAGTGGACGAGTAGACCAGACATTGAAGTCGTTTTATCTGATGGCACAACTCAATCAGTGGAACAATTGGTCGAAGATTGTGTTGCACCGCATCCCGGAGTGGAGGGTTCAGGTGGACAGAGGCCGCCAAATGGATCACTATATGCACGTTATCAATGATCTCGTCTCTATCAACCGGACTAATGCCGAGTCCGGGCGCCACTGTATTGCCAGCGATGGCCACTATTTTGTCGCATTTGCCCGACTCTCGCAAACCATTCAATTCAAATATGGGATCAGAGATATACTCTTCGGCCCTCTCTCTGGCCGTCTTTCCCCTCTTCGGTCGCACGAGAATATAGATTGTGTCGATTCCGTGGCATTCGTTCACATATTTCCACACCAAAGCCTATGTTTTTGGTGATTATATAGTTTATTGGTTAATAAATCTAGATGAATGTTTAACTAAATGAATAATTGGTAATCAATAGGACACATACTTTGCCCAGAAAACCTGTGGCTCCGGTTATAAAGAGTGATTTTCCGGTGTAAAATGTACTTATGTCTGATGTCATCGCAAACCTCTCTCTCTCACACTTATGTTAATAAAATAAAAGTATTGACAAAATGTTCAAATTTTGTGACAAATAAATTTATGACAACACCTTATAAATTTACGCAATTAAAATAAAATATACATTTTATTATATAATTTTAATTATCCATATTATAAAAGCGAGTTATTACAATAGTTTTCCTTGTATTTTTCCAGAAACATCAATTAATATAATATTATATTATGTTAATAAATGGTAATATTTGATTTTGTAAGATTTTCCACTAGAGTTATGATGAATGTACCATGATTAGAATTGAATAAAACTCACAATATCCCCAACGAGATAGTTAACCTTAATTTCATTTGATGCATTGTATTAAATATTTTACTATTTTTTAAAGTTGCTTTATATCACAAATATATTGTACTTTATACAGTCTGGCCCCGAATTTGGCATGTCATTGGTGCTGTGAAAAAGATGTGCCAAAATGGGTTATGCTAAAATCGGAGTCATTAGCAGTGCTAATATGACTCGCCGGTGCTAACAAAACCTTATGCTAAAATCGAATTCTGCTAAAATCGCGTGTGCCAAATTCGGGGCCAAACTGTATATAACTTTAAATTATCTCTTTATGTAAATGTCGCACATTTGTAAAGTCAGAACTTTACCTAAATTGTTCTAACATAGTTTTTCGATAAATTTACCATAATTATATTACAATTATACAGTATAATTTGTATTGTTTTTAATTCTTTATTTGTAACAAATAATAAAATCATGTAAAATAAATAAATTTGTCATGATGGTTAAAATATAAATATTTCTGAATGTAAATTACCTGTATTATTCTAATATTATTATTGAGGATTGTATTACCTATTGTAATAATTATATTAACTATATTACTATACTTTGTTATAACACTATTAAATCGGATAACTTATAGCCGAAGACCAGGGATACTATAAGCAGCAAAAGTCTTATCAAATCCATACTCGAAGTCGGGTTAAGAAGTGTGGAAACTGTCGGTAAAAAGAAGTCCAATTCAATCAAATCGCAAAATACATAGAAAAACATGTATAACATTAGGGATGAGAACGTCAGCCAAAGAGTGTTCATTATATGATATCTGATATAAACCCTATGGAAAACATGAAAATTTAAATACAATAAAAAACATTAAATAAATTCTAGTAAACCTTTTATAAATCCTTTTTGCTTTCCGCATGTCTTCGTCGGTCTCCTTCAGTATAAACCGTCGGCAACCGAACCAATAGTTTTCAATGTATTTTTTCCACTCAATCTCTCGGATATCAAAGCCAAAGATCCGACGATCCGTTTCTGACATCTCATCCAAGAGAGCGAACGTATTTGTGATCTCATATTCTGGTGATGTCTTCATAAATAGTCGGATGTCTTTCATGTTGTGATTTAATTTTGTCGTAATTTTCATAATTCCCGTCTTAATGCCCGACAGTTTAGACAAGAATTGTACGATATAAGCAAACATCCAATGTTTGAGATACACTTCTAATTGTATTTTGAGTTTATTTTGCATAAACATTAACCTAGGTGGTCTTAAAACTCGTATCGATGGAAACTTCTGAGCGTTTTTCTTAATACCATTCATTATATCTCTCATCGGCGGTGAGAGATTTGTCTTTGTGGTCAAGTGATATACTTTAAGTTTTGGTTCACTGTTTATATAAATATATTTATTTTATGTTATAATTCAATTTGATTTTACCAATATATTAATAGTCAACTAACCATTGTTTACAATTGAACCAAACACTGGCAATCAATCCGTTGGCCACAAAATCGACAGGTATTACACATTGAGCGCCAAACCTTCGGGACGGAAACACTTTCATGAGTCCGAGACCGACGGCCACCACAGCCGAAGTGCTGCCCTGAATGCCTTGAAGCCAACCCGGAGTCGGGTCCTCATAAGCGCACAATATTGCCGACGGTCTGACGATAACAATGTTAAGTCGATTCGACTCCTGTTGCAGAAGCTGTTCGGCCAATGCTTTTGATATGCAATACGTATTATTAAACTCTCGAAAGAAAAACTTTCGGAATTTGTCCAACACTTCATTGGACACAGAATCGCACACTTTTAGCATATATTCGGGCGAAACCACAATACTCTTATGGACCGTCTCGTCGGCGAACTCCGAGCCGTTAAGTATGGCTGTAGTGGACGAGTAGACCAGACATTGAAGTCGTTTAATCTGATGGCACAACTCAATCAACGGAACAATTGGCCGAAGATTGTGTTGCACCGCATCCCGGAGTGGAGGGTTCAGGTGGACAGAGGCCGCCAAATGGATCACTATATGCACGTTATCGATGATCTCGTCCCTATCGGCCGGACTAATGCCGAGTCCGGGCGCCACTGTATCGCCAGCGATGGCCACTATTTTGTCGCATTTGCCCGACTCTCGCAAACCGTTCAATTCAAATATGGGATCAGAGATATACTCTTCGGCCCTCTCTTTGGCCGTCTTTCCCCTCTTCGGTCGCACGAGAATATAGATTGTGTCAATTCCGTGGCATTCGTTCACATATTTCCACACCAAAGCCTATGTTTTTGTTGATTATATGGTTTATTAATCAATAAATCTATAATTATTTACTTAAATGAATAATTAGTAATTAACAGTTAGTAATTAATAGTTAGACACATACTTTACCCAAAAGACCAGTGGCTCCGGTTATAAACAGTGATTTTCCGGTATAAAACTTACAGATATCTGATGTCATCGCAAATCTCGAAGAAAGATAATATAATCAATGTATTGACAAAATGTTTAAATATGTATAAAATATTCAATTTATATGAAAATGTTTTAGATATTAACGCAAATTTAATAAAAATTATCATGTATCATTACATTATATATTAGAATGACATTACGGTTAGTTATTAATTATAAATAAATTTAAAAAAAACAAGTGGAAAATTTATCATAATGCAATATGATTTCAAGTTACGGTGAATCATTTCCTTATATTTTTCCAGTTGTTTTTATTTGCGAGCTTTATTTATGAATTTAATTAAATTTATTTGACAGTTAGTTATTATTAACCCTGATTTAAATAATTGTATTAAATTTAATTATTTTTTACATCAAATATTGTATTATAAAATATTTTTCATTTTTGTAAACAGATTTCTTATCATAACTTTAAAAGTTAACCAATAATTTGAGCACAAATGATGTTATTTAAAACATTAATGTTTTTATATTTATGACAATTAATTTATAATGTCGTGTTGTAATTTGTATTAAAAATATAACTTCTATGTAAGAAAACTTTCATAAATAATTTGGATAATTTTTTATTGATTTATAATTTCATGTGTTTTGTAGTTAATTGTAATTGTAGTTAATAATCAATGTTTTATGTATCATTTTAACCATGCACATTTAAATTTATTTATATATGGATTTATTAATCTATTTTTAGTCTTCATTCAATTCATTTGATTTATCTTTAATAAATGCAGAATTAGTATAACTATTATTGCAATCATTTTCATCATTTTTATTATAAATATTGTTATTGACGTCCATTTCTTTGTCATTTGAAATGATTTCCATTTTTAAGGCAATCATTGGGTCGTATTTCTCAACTATTTCTTCAGCAGTTAATTGACTTTTCACTGGTTTTTTGCGTCCGATTAACAAATCTGTAGTCAATGTCGCGAAGGGTTTTGTTATAATGATTGCACACAAAACAGACAAAACATATGTAATTATAAAGTCTGAGATGGCATTCGATATCTACGAATAAATTCATTAAAAACAAATGGATTTTAAAAATTATATAGATTAATTATTGATAATAATAATTATTTTTATAAATATTTGAAATAATTGTACTTAAATATACACTCACCACATAATAATCATTATAAGTAACTTGCTCTCTTAATGTGCCAACTTTGTATATTATAACAATGAGATGTAACTAAAATAAACAATATATTTCATGAAATCAAATAAATAGACAAATTTTATAAATCATAAAAACACTTACTATATATATTTCAAGTGTAACATTATTGATTACATTAAATCCCTTCCAACCCAGTATATTATTAATAAATTCTGTTTTTAAACAAATTGTATTATATTTATATTTATAAACAATCTATAAAGACATTACCGGCTCTACCGGTGGCACAGGCGTAGAAAAGCCAACAAAATCCCGGCAAATAAACCACTTTATGAATTAATAGATATACGTGTTGTTCGTATCCATAAAGTCGTGTAAATCTATAGCTAAAGTGACTAAAGTCTTTATTCCACCAAATTATCCCACAAGTCATCGAAAATGTCACTAAAGATATGATCGTCTCTCCTATCCGTCCGCCTAAGTATGCCTTCGGGTGCCGACGGATAGCATAAGCAGTGAGAATACCGATGATATAAGTCTGAATATATG